AAAGTTGGATTGACAAAAGCATTTTTTATTAAGGTGTTTTTCCATACTACTACTGCTTAACTCATACTCTGCTAACTGTTGTTTACAAGCTTGAATCCCAGTTTCAAGAAGACTCTTTGGATAACCAAGTAAAGAACAATTTGCAGTGGTTCAATTTTGGAGATGTGTGATAATTCTGAATGTATGTAGTACAGTACAAAATGGCAATATAATTATAAACCTGCTAGTGACCATTTCAACAGTAATGCTCTGTGAAATGCCACTAACTATATACTTGTTTTGATGAATCTCAGTAATGGATATCCAAAGGGTCAAAACAGTTCCTGACCCTCTGGATGGTTAAAGATTCTCAGCAGCACTGTCTGGATATGTCATTATTATTTTGTCTCTTAGAATCACCTAAAAAAAAAAAAAGCTTTTTTTTTTTTTTCCCACAGAAAGATTCCCTTTTTGTAATCATATTTGCTTTTAAACAGAGAACCACAATTTTGATGTTTTAAAGGCAGAGAAAATAATTTCTGCTTCTGGTGCAACCTATTTGTAATTCAGAACAAGGAGGAAGGCAATTAACTGACATCTTTCTACATAATAATATAAGTTAAGGCTCTAAGGCTTTGCCTACACTGGGGAAATCCAGACAAGTTTCTCACTGCTGCTGTCACCGGCTTGGCCAAAACACTGTTAGGAATATTAAAGGTCTAATGCAGACGAACTCACCAGCCTCAAAAAATGCTGTCAGCAATTAAGAATTTCCTGGAAAAGGAGTGGCATTCAGAGGTATGAATAACTGAATGATGCTGTACAAGTAACCTGTGTTATATCTTTGTGTCTTTGTGCTTTGCTATCATGATTTTCTTTTCCTTTTCTGCCTGCATAAATATCTCGTCAGCAAAAGCTGGTCGTTCCTGCAATGGGAATCATATTGAATGAACTGTTAGGGCTTCAGGTATCTAATGGTGCCTCTTATCAGTAGTTATCAAATATGTTCCCACATAATGTCATCAGCCTTCTTTCATTCTACTTTGCTAAAGCTTCTACTTCTTTAAAAGATATTTTAATTTTGAATAGACTGCTACTGAACTGTTTCTTAAAAATAAATTTAAGAAAAGATACTTCATAGTAAAACCAGAAAGTTTTAAATTATTTTCTGTGAGTGCCATTTTTAATCACCATTTCCATAGACAAAATGCTAACAGATGCTTTATACTATATAGATGCTTCCTCACAAAATGAATCTGATCCTTTGGCACCTATCATCACATTTGCATCTGCAAGCACAATATTTAAGAGCTACATTCCACCTGAATGGTGCTTTTAAACTAAACTTTTTTTTGTATTTAAAAAATAAATCATTAAAACATTGCTGGGAGGAATATGGTTATAAATGAGGATATTGGCAGGAATCCAGCGTTATTGGGAAGGTAGATATTCACACTACTTGTGCTGCCAGTGGTGATTAATTAAAAGCCGTTAGATACCTGAAGCCCTAACAGTTCATTCAATATGATTCCCATTGCAGGAACGACCAGCTTTTGCTGACGAGATATTTATGCAGGCAGAAAAGGAAAAGAAAATCATGATAGCAAAGCACAAAGACACAAAGATATAAATGTTCATGTTTTATTTAAGGTCCCAGCTTTTAGTCTGGTTGGCTGCGTATCAGGAGAGGTGATTTCTGTCTCTACAGTATAGTTAATCAGGAAAGCCACACAAATCAGGTGGTAGAACTGCAGAGATCTGAGGCTAAAACCTTTGTGACTGCAGAGCAATGCGGAGGAAATGGGGGAGCAAATGAATGCAGAAAATGTGGAAAACAGCAGTAGAAGAAACACAAGAATGATGAAAGTGCCAAGTGGTGAAAGCAAAAACAACCAACGCTTCACAAGTTTATCTCTTGGTGCTACAGATATTGTTTTCAGCAGATGCCTGAATTTCCTTGAGAAAAAGCAGAATTCAGCAATTACGAATGAAAGACATCTTCCCATGAGCACGAAGGATTTAAAATAATTTGCAATTTTTACCACATTCGCCCGAAGTAATTTGAATCCTAAATTACACAAGAGAAAACCCTCAACAAAGTCCAGTTCCTATATTCACATGGAGAGAGAGATCTTTTCACTGTCATTCACACATCCTGCTGACACTTGCTCTCCAGATGTTGGTTGAGCACTATGCTGCATACTAAGTAACCATCATATTGCCAATTACAATATTTTCTCACTGATGACAAGGTACTAGATTTTCAGATATTTTCTATGCAACTGATAGAAATCCAATATTAATAAGACAGCTTTTAGTGAAGCAAGCCTGTGCAATTATTAGAAGACACTAACATACTAATGTGAAACTAAAATGAGGAAATGCAATGAATACATTCACCCTACAATATGTATGTTAAGGAGATGCTAATATGTTCTATGAGAATGTAGTGCTGAATTTTCTCTTTAAAATAATTTGTGATGTTCTGTAACACCATTGCACAGCTCTACTTAATACAGAACCAATAATAAGAACATAATAATAAGAAGGAGCAATCTAGACATCAGGACCCTGTCCCAACTTACAGAGAAAAATAAATACAAATAAATAAAGCAAATCACCAGTGCAGCATCATCTTTTTTGTTTGTTTGTTTGTTTTAATTATTATTATTTGGGGCCAAAGAATGTGTTTCTATCAGTCAGGTTGTTGTTCTACCCAAAGATTTAAAATTGAAATAGCAAGAACTCAAAGATCATCTTTTGAATGAAGTTTCTTATTTTTAGGCAAAAAAACAAAACAAAACAAACAAACAAAAAAAAACAACAAAAAAAACAACACACCAATAGAAAGAAAAATACAGCAGATCAAAATAAGACTGCTTTAAGTGCATAAAGTGAGCCACTAAAATGGTTAATTAGTCAGAAACAAACCTACATCATATGAATCAGACTTTTTGTACTTTACTTTGCTAGACATTGCTTTGCCAACTATTTATTCACTTTGTTAATACAATATGATCTTAGCTTCCTTTTGCAAATCTTTAGAAGTGACCTGAACAGGAACTAAATAATGTATGGTCTTCAAACATCAGTTAAGGGAAGCAAAGGATAACTTCAACTGTACATAACGTGTTCTTGTATGTAAGGAAGCAATTTCAATATAGTATAATGGAGAAGATTTCAGTGTTGCACATCAACTCTGCTTATTTATATAGATACTTCTATTTCTAGAACAAGAATCAAGAATACTAGCACTGTTATACTTTACAGTCACATTTTACCTTGATCCAAATTCTCATTCATGTAGGCAAAAATGTTTTAATTTCAGTAGGCATAACAAATTTTGGATTTATTTCCTTCAGACAAAGTCATTTATATTCCTATGAAAATGAATTCAAATAGTAGCCTAGAGTTCCTCAGCAGTCTATGCTTTTCAATCAGATTTCCTGAAGAGAAGTTCTTCCTCAAAACACTTGCAGTACGCAGGTTAAATAAGATCTTGGATAGATTATTGACTCACACAAAGTAAGAAACTCCTCTAAGTCTGCAAGGAAATAAAATCTTTACCTTAAGTATTTACCTTAAGTATTTTCAGCTAAATCAGTCATAGCTTAATACCTGCTGTGTGATACTCATTTAGTAAAACCTTTTGAAAATACCACAGCTAGAGAGACCTGCCTGTTGTTCTGACACAACAATTCTGTAGAGGAAAGTCTTGCTAAATCCCTGCAGCACGTGTGCAAAACTCCACATGGCTACAGCATGCTCTTTCTTCATGAGCTTTGTTTTTGCCAGGGAGGATGACAGGAGGGTTCACCCACTCCCAAGTTTTGCTTGCCTTTCTGACCATCCTGTGTGTGTGTCTTGGGAACGTCCAGAATAAACACTGCTTGAAGACCTTTGGTCTTAGTCCAAGATCCTGCTCCGAAACAACTGTTATATGGCACTTGAGAAAAAAACGCAACAGCCTTTTAGTGAAGGTGTTCTGTGGACTTGGGAAAAATGGATTCTGTTTCTGACCTTGCAATGACCCAGTTTTATGACCCAGGAAAACTCATTTCATCTACCTGTGCCTTGGTACAAAACCTTCTGCACCCCACAAAACTGCCCTGAATCTGCATCCATTAATATTTGATATAGCATTGTGCTAGGGCTCTTCTTCAGTGGGTACACAGTGTGGGAAAGCAGGTCAAAGCTTGGGATAATGTTTAAAAAAAGAGCTGTATATCATAGCAACGATTCAGTTTCCATCTTCCACACAATCTTTTATACCTCATGTAATCACTTTGTGCATTCAGTATTTCTGTTACAAGTATTACATTTCTATTTGCACAAAATTTGTCCCTGGCATTATAGAAGATAAGGCTATCACAATCTTATTGATTGAGCAGAGAAGCTTACGTATGTTTTCAATCATTATTATACAGGGCGTTTTGAGGAGATGATGCATTTAACTAAGAAGAGATGGAGAAATACAGGAAAAGAAAACAGGAGACAAGATGACCCAGTAAAATGTTCAGTCCTATGTATTTCTAATACATATCTTTAAAGACTTTGTGACAGAGTCAAGTTCTCCAGATATTTTACCTTGAACTTATTTTTTTTGCTTGAACTCGAATTTTGGCAAAATGCATTCAAGAAATCTTAGCAACATGAATCACACTGAAACACATCACACGCACTTTAGTACGTGGATGTAGGAAAAAAATACACCTTCTGCTGCTCCATTTTGACAAAGAAACAAAAAATACTTGAGGTAGTATACAGAAGACTACAGTAAGCAATGGATTAGGAGTATTTGTCCAATAAGGTGCTTCTAGTAGTAGAATCAGTCCTCTATGCCCAATTAGCAAGCTATTAATCTGCTTCAATTAATCAACTTTAAGGAAAATGAATATATAAAATAATGGCTTAGAAAAATTAAACAGAATACTACCCTCAGACTATACAAAAGATTTTTTGGTAATGATGCTGCTGACAATTCATCAGATTTAACAAGGTGTAGTGAAAGAGGAACTGACCTCCCGAGGACAGATGATTCTCTTGGGACGTGGTGCCTCTTGTTGTAACTGATACACTGTCAAAGACAAAAATGTACAGATAATTAGAAGACTGCAACATACACAAACTTTTATTCAGATGAGTCTTTTAGCCAGAGGCTACAGAATAAAATGCAAATGCAAAGACAGCAAACTGAGTTATTTAGGTATGTGCAAATCATTTATATGAAAACATGACTAGTTTGCTGACCTGTAAACTAGTAAAAGTGAATATTGTTTTCACTCTTAGAATCATTACTTCCCTTTAGAATTGTTACTGCCTCTATATCAGGAAAAAAAAAAAAAAAAAAAGTTCTAGAAGGATTTTTCAGGTGTATCTCAGGATGAAATCTCAGTTCTGCACATACTGTATCTGAAGAACAGAATGCTTACTTGCAGCACCTGTGCTTTTTGGATGGGGCAAGAAAAGGTTCAGCCCGTTTGAAAGAGCCCATCATCATCTCATAATTTATTTGTTTTTAAGATTTCCTGGTGACTATTTATGAGCAAGTGAACAGAACGATTACGCCACATTCAAATGGCCCAGGATCAATTTTACCAGTCTTCTGAAGGCTGCATGAGAAAGAGCTGAGGCCAGTGGTAGCTGCTGAACCCTGGCCCCCAGTCTCTTCCCTTCATGTATTTAATGAGATCCTTCCTCTCCTTTCCACTCAAAAGTCATGAGAGGGAGATGACATACAGTGACAGTAATCAATTCCAGTGCAGACAGACAGTCTCTCCAGAACTCCAGTAAAAATCCCAAAGGCTGGGATTGCCTCCCTTGAGGAAGGTCTTCCGTATACTGCATTTGGGAAGATGACGTTGTGCCTAGGAATTTTTTTAAAGACCGAGTTCCTCGGGAAGTGCTCTTCACGGTGCTTGTGAAGCTCTGAATTATGCCCTAAATGGTGGTAAATTACGGAAGGAAAATAAATGGTAGTAGATTTGGTAAATACAGGAGTCCTGTCACAGAAAGGGTGTGGAAATGGTAGGTGTTGCTCTTTAGCACCTTCTCTTCTGCATCTTCTCTTTAAATAGGGCTAGAAACAGCTGTAATTAAACACGAGAAGTGAAAAGTCGTCAGCTTGCACTCAAATTTCTCTTTCAGGGAATAAGAAAGCTTTGGGGAGTGTGTTCTTTGCTAATGTCAAGGTGGATAAAAACATATCATTTCCCAATGTGATCTCTGCATCCCTGGTTCACAGGAGGGACACAACAGGAGAGTTCGTAACTCCTCATTTCTCCTGTCAGTTTTAAAGCCTACGTATGCACTCCAGCTTGGAATATGTACTAAGAATTTCGTCTTAACCCATTTCACTGCCAGACCTACTGCTGCTTTTGTAGAAGATTTATCACAACTTCTGGGCTTTCTTACCTTTCCAAATGTGTTACCAAGTAAAACTGAAAGCCTTCCTTTCACTCTTTTCTGATCAAATTATTTGTTTATCCAAAAGAATTGTCGAGTAAAGCATGAAAAAATATGCTTCAAAAATCAGAGACCATATCTTAAAACTCTGATTATTCTGCATCTCAGTATTACAGTTTTAAGAGAAACTTAACGTTTGAAATCAGTATAATAGCTGATTCAGCAAGGTACTGATGCTTACCACCACAATGCTTAATACTAAACATATTAAAGAAGAAATTTTTTTTATTTCCCCATACTTTTCTAGTAGGGAAAAGGTACTCTATGGATTCAAAATACTGCAAGTACAAGATTGCTTCCTCGCCAATTTAAATGAAAGATCTATTTCCCCAATTCATTCATTTAAATTTTAATTGAAAAATTATACTTTATAAAAATCCCATTTTTCAGTAATCAAAACTGTTAAATATTAACTGGCAGAGCAAATTAAGCTGATGAAGCTGTTTCTAAAATAATCTTGATAGCTGCAGTGCTGAAAAAATAGGTCTGAAGAACACATACGAAGCCTAACTTACAACATGCAGCACTTAGAAGAAATGAGAATGGTAAAGAGCTCTTTGAAATGTCTGAAAGGATCGCTGAGGTTGATCACACAATCTCAGAATGGTTTGGGTTGAAAGGGACCTCAAAGATCATGTAGTTCCAATGCCCCTGCTGCATGCAGGGTTGCCAAATACTAAATCAGGTGTTATTTAAGCAATCTAAACTATGTCATTGATATCACTGAAGAAGCATCAGCATTTCACAAAACAAAGGGAGGAATGGAACAGCTCACTTTGGATGTCATCTCCAAGCAAATGGAAGAGAAGAAGGTTAGGAGTAGCCAACATGGATTCACCAAGGAGAAATCATGCTTGACCAATATGGTAGCCTTCTAGGATGTCATAACTGAGTGGGTAGATGAGGGGAGAGCAGTGGATGTTTTCAACCTTGACTTCAGCAGAACTTTTGACTTTGTCTCCCATAATGTCCCTGTAGGTAAGCTTAGGAAGTGTGGTGAAGTGGATTGAGAAGTTCCACAAAAACATGAGGAAAAACTTCTCTATTTTGAGGGTTATGCAACGCTGAAATAAGCTGCCCAGAGAGGCTGTGAAATGATCCTTCTCTGGAGATATTCAAAACCCGGTTGTATGTTCTCCTGCATAACTTATTTAGGGAACCTGCTTTAACAAAGAGTCAGACTAGATGATCTCCAGAATTCCCTTCCAGTCCCTACAATTCCGTGATTCTGTGAATGTCTAACAAGAGAGGGTGGTTATACAAAAAATTTGAAAGTGAACACAGAAAAGTGGACTTTGATAGGATGCAGTGGGATCAATCAGTGCAGGCATTCATGATGGGTATTAGAAGGACAAACCATCCTAACAACTGTGTTTTGAATAGTCTGAAGAAGACTGCCATCATTCTTGGGTAATTAACCTCCACAATAATCTGAACTGAGAAAGATATTTAATTTAGAAATACATCAGAGGAAAATAAAGTAATATTACTACTATACAAATAAATAATAATCTACATGCTGCCTTAAGCGTGCAGGATGAGAAAAGGACCCCCAGATAACAACCACAGCAGAGCCTGTGACTGTTCATAATCACAGAAAACACTGTCCAGTAGAACTACTGGAGAGAAATGTAGAACCATTAGGATGAAGGAGAGAGACATACTGGGAACAGAAAGAAAGGACTGAGACCCATCACTGGCATGATGGTGAGAGATGCCAAGCAGTTCAAGGAGAAAGAAACAACAAGGACAGGCAAAAATACTCAGAAACGATGCAAAGCAAGGCAAGGATGGAAGAGGCAAAAACAGCAAAAGGGCAGGTAAGTGAAGAGCTAGGAAAGACAATATTCCAGACTGGGGCATTACAGAGGAAAACAAGTGTAATGTTATAGAAAGCTGTGGTCTTCCCCAGAAGGGTTCTCTCCTGTTACTGCTTCAAATGATTGCTATGTGAAAATCTGCAGATGAGGTATGAATACAAGTGAAATATGATGGCTAAGATGACTCGATAAAAATGTGCCCTACAGCTAAGTTCCAATGAGCACAGACACCTCATTAAGTGACCTCATTTCAGAAGCGCAGAACATCCCACAGCACTGCCTGATTTCATTATATTTGCTGGGTGCTTACCTCTTGGACTGACACACTGCTGAGACCTCAGCAGAGTCCAGTGGATGGTCAGAAGTTCAGAAAGATTTTGACCGTCCCTTATTCACTTCCTCCAGTGACATCCTAGCCTTGCTTTTTGCCTCATTTCCCTCTCCTCACTGCTGAAAATCTCAAAACAGAATCCAATTCATAAGAATATGGTTGATTGAAATAATATAAAAACGTACTTATTTAATACAGTGGTAAGCAGTGATTGACATCTGACCGAGTGCATCTCAGCCTTTAGAACTGACAGGCAGGTTAGAGACAAACTCACTTTGATTATAAAAAAGATTATGCTTGAACAAAATGATGCATTGTTATTCTAGCCCAGAGAAAATTGACCTCATAAAAAGTCAACAGCACACAAAGAGAAAAATGTATTATCGCTGCTTAGAAAACAGCATCAGACTGGAAGTAACTTTCTGGTCCAGCACCAGATGCAAGTGAAACGCATAGTACTATTAGGACAAAATATTGAACCAAAATGCAGCGGTGCGATAGAAGGGAAAGGAAAGAAGGGAAAGGAAAGAAGGGAAAGGAAAGAAGGGAAAGGAAAGAAGGGAAAGGAA